AAATCCTTTCTCCTCTGGAGTTTTTAGGGGTTTTTCTAGGCAGGATTTTAAGAGCAGTCACTCTTTTTTCTTTTTTCTTTTTTTTTTCTAGACAGGACGTGCTGAAGATTGAAGTATCCACTCTTCATCGAATCTTAACTTTTAAAAGTTTTTATTATCTTCCTCGATGCCATGCCTGGACAGCGCCAGCAGCTGGTGCTGTGAATGTTGTCACTTGCAAATGAAAAAAGGTTCAATAACTTTAATGTGGAGGGATTTCCATTTGTTGCAGAGCCTAAAAGTTTGGTTTAGTTTTGCATAAATAAGTCGGTGACTTTTTCCTGATCACATCTGAGTTTTTATGCTTATAATTCAGATTCTCTGTTTACGACATGCAGTTTAGCTCTAAACTTCCTGGTAGAGAAAAAGCTGCAGCTTAAAATCGAAGCAATTTTTACACCGAATTAAAGTAAAAGAATTTTGTAAATGCCTCTCATAAAAATAGAAGAATTTGAATTTTTCCACTCTACCCGGCTGTTTCTACATGAAAGCCTTGGTGTTTTGCTGCTGCTCGCTCACAGAAAGCACACCAGTTGAGCTATTTCTAAGTAGAAATTAAAACAGGACAATGGCTTCTATTCCCCCAGACTGCTTCAGTAATGTGCACAGGCTCTTTTAAGCAAGTGTGTATGCTCGTAGTCTCCTGAGAACAATGCTGGATTCCTGCCGTCCTGGTGAAAACATGTCAAATAGAGCCAGGGCTGCGCTGCTGCCCATACAATCGATTGTTGTCAGCTCACCCTGTCACATTAGCGACATTTAAAGTGTCCTGTATAGCCAGTGATTTGCAGTGTTTATGCAAATACAGCTTTGGCTCTGTTCCACTGCAGGATGACATTAGTCACATCACAAAAAGAGATTTTTAAATATGTGGGTTTTTTTTAGTTAAATTAAAAGTTAATTTAAAAAACAAAGAACAAAACCGAATGAAAGTGTAAACTAAACATTTTTTAAAACTTATTTGTCATTTTTTAAATTTTTTAAAGTCATTTCTAAGAGCTGATCTTTGGTCTTTTTTATAGAGAGCTGGATTGAAAGATGCCTTAATGAGAGTGAGAGTAAGCGATACTCCAGCCACACGTCTCTGGGGAACATGTCCAATGATGAACGTAAGCAGGACCGACTGTACTTGCACTGAATCCTCTGTCTGCACGTAGCTTTTAAACCTCAGAAAATGTCATTTAGCCAGAGAACAAATGATAAGTGTATGTTTGTGCCACTCTTCTGTCATTTTGCTGTAATTACTTAATTAAGCCCTACGTGTGCTGTTTATTCCAGATGAAGAAAAAGAAAATAACAGAGCCTCAAAACCACATTCGACACCGGCTACGCTGGAATGGTAAGTTATTAAAAAATGTTTTCTTTTATCATTTAAAGAGAAAAGCTGCAACATGTCAAAACACAACAGGCTATTTAAAATATTAAATATATTCTCAAATTAATGTAAAACTGATGTAACCAGTCCTTTAAATCAGCCACTCACAAAAGAGTCTGTTTTATTCTTTTTAAAATTTAAATAATGTGCACATCAGAGCACTTTTTTTTCATTGTTTTAATCCTGTGTTGTCTTCATCCTGCAGATTCTGATATTATTTTCAGTAAATTTGATTGCTTTGGTTAATTTAAATTGTCTTAAATGTCACCCATACACACAGATGATGAGTTTCTCTGCACATTTTAGGGAAATTTACTTTATATCTGCTTAGCAGCAACAAGTAATTGCACCTGCAGCCTCAACATGCACCACAATTCATTCATATCATGTATATATGCATGGAATACCAACTCCAATTGTGACAAGTCTGTTTAAAATTAGAGAATTAAAAGAGAATAATTTTATATATTAAATATCCTGTAATAATAATGAACTTTTTTTTTTACTTTTCAAAGTGAGTCTCTTTTTATTTTGTGTCATAAGTAAATTGTTGATTTAAACAGAAGAAACGCAGTCTAAAAATGTTATAATGTATAGTGTATGCTGTATTAGGAAATTATCAGCAAATAGTTCTTATGCAGCTAAGTAGTTAGGGTGTTGAATCAAGAGTAAATAAACTGTCCAGCATTAGTCATGCTTGCATATTTGTAATTAAAGAACAATTTTAACCTAAAATAATATATTGGGTCACGTGACTGATCACAGTTTGATTGTCAGAAGACTTAAATGTAGCTGTTTTACCGCAAAGCAGTAAAAATGGATCCAATTCAAAAAACAGTTTCTAAGTAAATGAACATTTATCTTAGTTCTCACTCAGCTTCACTTAAACAGCCACTCAGCCAAGTCTTTTAATACAGAGGTCTACATGCAGTACCCAGACACATACAGTACGGTATGGCATATTACCCAGCATTAAAGTGCATTTAACAGGTAATTATTTGGAGTAATAAATGAGGTCTCAGAAGCTTGGAAAACCATGGGAAACATTTTTTAATGTTTCAGGCTAATAATGAAACTTAACGTAACGTAAATAATAATAAAAGTAATTGCAGCAGTTTCAGGATTTAACGTGTAGTTCAACCGTTTGAAAGGTCAAATTTACTTGTACTTAATCAGTCTGTTGCGTCTTAATGGTGTTGTTTTATACAAAGTGGAAATAGTGCTTTCTTCTTCTGATTGTTGTTAATGAGTTACAGACATCACATTTAAGCGATTTGTTTGACGGCTGCACCAAAAACAGGATTTCTTAGGGACAGTTTTTACAAACGTGAAAAAAAAATCAGGCTGACATTGTTACCGACATTCATACCACACTCATACTGCTCTTTTTGCGTAATTCCTGCGTCCTCCGTAAACACATAGAAGATTAGCAATTAAGTGCTAATCTTATTGGTTAATTTAAAAATCTTTTCTAGATTAAAGAGAATAATATTGGGGCTGTCAAAAACTCCACTGCAATATAAAAGTGAACTAAAAAAGGTGAACTACAAACAGAAAACAATAGGAATAGGAACAATAGGAAGAAAACTACTAATTGTGATGCCGGTGTACCTCAAGGCTTAGTTTTAGGTCGTTTTGTATTTATTGTATTACCTTTTCTTAAGTTGTTAGATTTACACTAATAATATGAGGGATGAAATGTAGAAATGCACATGAGTTGTGATGTGTATTTCTTAAAAGTGAGTGACACATTCAAATATTTGAGTTTGGAAAAGCAACGCTGAAGTATTGAAGTCATTGCTTTGTTGAGCCACTGGGGGCAGAATACTTGAAAGCTGCTCTGAAATGCTAATTACGTCAGAAGTGTTCATGTCTCCTGTGTTGGCAAACAGTTAGGAGCACAAATGCTGCTTGTGTAAATAAGGGCAAATATTTCAATGTGAATCATTTAGAAATTATGATGCGCTCATTGTCGACGATCAAAGATTGATGAAATATGACGTCCAGTATTGGGAACACCGATAAACAGCTGTTCTGCTTTAATGTGAATTTGTTCACTGCAGCTGTTAGTGAGACGAGGTTGCAGGAAAAATGGATGTTGCAACTCCCGAGGGAGTAGCTGTTGTCTTTGTTGATGTCTGCGTTGTCATGCCTTGCGTGACAACCCAATGCATGACTGTTCCATGAAACAGTTAGGGCTGCTGGGATGCAACAGACAGTTTGCTTTATAATAAACACTGCTATAAGAAAATACAGTGTTAAATCTCTGCAATAATGCATTACACTGGAAGTAAGATAACGATTACCTTGATGTAGCTGTTTAATTTATATTGTGTCCCACTTCTTTCTTCTCATCTTTGAACTGTATTTGAGGCGGTACCCTAATGGCATATCTGCTTTAATCTGTCCTCTTAATAACATAAACTCTGACATCGTGCAGTTTAATATCAGATCACGCTAATTTTTAAACGCCCTGTTCGTCGTAAAACCATACACGAGCTTCCAAATGTCCACCTGACATTTCCCCCTTTGTCATTCACAGGCTAGAAGAAAACTACGAGATAGCCGAAGGTGTGTGCATCCCCCGAAGTGCCCTCTATATGCATTACCTAGACTTCAGCGAAAAGCACGACACGCAGCCTGTGAACGCAGCCAGCTTTGGAAAGGTGAAATGCAAACTTGAGTAGTGATGAAGATCAGACAGTGCAGAGAGTCAACAGTCACATCTATTGTAGCTCTAGAAGGAGTGTTTAATTTGTGAAATGCCTTTTCACTATTATTACTACTTTCTTTTAGTTTTCAGTGTTTTTAATATTCATAAGTTAAAACTTATAGCTGATGTTGCAGATGCAACATCAGCTATAAGCTGACTGAGGCGGTCTTCTGCTCAGTCAGCCGCGAGCGTTACGCTGGGGCCGTTGCACGCCTGGGTCGGTTTTTGTGCGGCTGTGTTGAAGTTATATCAGATCAAAACTCAGTGTGAAGCAAAGCTCTCGCTGAACACATAATCTAGAGCCAAAGGAGATGTGCTTTGGTCTGTTCCCACAACCCCAAGAAGTTCCTCAGCCTTCCTACCCCCAGCCATCCCCTGTACCCTGGACTCCAGCCCCAACCCCCAACCCGGGCCTACCCCCGCCCCTCCACAGCTCCTGTCGGAAGATATTGAAAAAGAGAAGGGGCCTGGATTAATGTGTAATTAAAGGAAATTTGGAAGGGTGAGATGTTGCGGAATGTTAGATCAGTGGCTGGAGCAGTGTGGGGTGTCCTTTAGGAAGGCTTCATTGATTCAGGACAAAAAAACGAGAGAGGGCCCGGACTGCCTCCCTGTCTGCTCATTTATCAAGCGGGGCCTGACAGAAACTTCACAGCTTGGCCTCTTTTTTCATCCCACACAATGGAGAGCTACACTGTTTGCTAAAGTTTCTGCACCAGGAGCTGGACCGAGGAGCCAATCTCTTTGGACAAAAAAAAAAGAGAGAAAGAGAAAGAGAGAGGAAAGGTGGAAAGGAGGGAGTGGAAAAGGAAAAGAGGGAGAGAAGGAGTCAGGATGGGTGGGTGGAAAGATGCAGGGAGGCTGTAGATATGGGGGTAAGGGAGGGGGAGTAATACCCATGGATGTCATAAATACATAGACTCTGGAAGCTTTTCTTCTGCACGGCGCTCCCTGTGGATATGACTACAAGACCAACTTTATTAAACACTCTCTCGCCAAGAGCTAAAAATGAAGTGCAGCGTATTCTGTTGACTTCTGCGTGCTGTAAAGCCATATTATACAATAATAACAAGTAAAATACACACACCTGCTATAGAGGTGCTTCCTTATGTCGCCTCTTTACACCATCTTTTCTTTTTCTTCTGGTTTTATCCAACGCAGACAAAAACACATATAAATATTTTGAATCTATACTTGCTAACGGTATTTCTCTCACAATAAACAGATCATAAGGCAGCAGTTTCCAGCACTGACTACCAGACGACTGGGAACAAGAGGGCAGTCAAAGTAAGATGTTTCAGGGTTTTTATGTTAGAGATGCTGAGTCAGTTCCTCAGTTTAAAAACATTAAAAACCACATGTTTAGACTGCATTTTGTGCTTTGCTGACATCTTATGTTCCTGTAGTTTTCCTTTTTAAAAAAATATTTTTTTTGTCATGTTCTTCCTACACTACAACCTGTAATGATTTGTTCACATGCTTTTTTTAATTAGTGGATATATTTATTTGTAAATTGTCTTTGAAAAGCAATATGAAAGAACTTATTGCTTTTCTGATTACGTACTTTTGGAAAAATTCACCTAAAAAATAAAAAACAAAAGACACGTATTCAAAAAGCAAAATTAAAATTAATCAATAAAAAAAATTAAATCACACTTTCACTAGTATTATTATTATTATTATTATTATTATTATTTTGCAAATAATATATATTTAAAAAAATACATTATAATTTTCAAACAATATTTAATTTATTATATATCAGCCAAGTGATCCTCAAACGTCCTTGCCATTGATCTGTCCGTCGTCTCTGCTCCTCAGGTATCACTACTATGGAATAGCGGTGAAGGAGACCTCCCAGTATTATGACGTGATGTACTCCAAAAAGGGAGCGGCGTGGGTGAACGAGACGGGGAAGAAAGAGGCCACGAAGCAGACAGTGGCGTATTCACCGCGCTCCAAACTGGGGACGCTCCTGCCAGAGTTTCCAAATGTCAAAGACCTAAATTTGCCTGCCAGCCTGCCAGAAGAAAGGGTAAACAGGAGTTTTAAAAGTCCATCCTTCCAGCGCCCCCCTCAGCCCCCTCCTCCCTTCGCCGTTGCTTGCCATCTCACCAGCTCTGCGCCCCCTCTGGCTCTTTTATCTGCCCCGGGAGCTTCAGTGGGTTTGCGTTTAGAGAAGGACCTTGAGGATTTATATGCTGGCTCCTCTCTAACTCTTAATCTTTTGGGGGAGATAATAAGATCTAGCAGTGGACAAAAGGACAGGCACTAGCTGTCCGGCTTTTAAAGGGGGGCCATGATTTTAAATGGTTTGTGTTTTGCTGATCTCTAAAGCTCGTTTTATATTACTCCGCTCAAGCCTAGGCCTGTAACATCTATTTATTGGCTCCCATGCTTTGTTCAAGATTTATCTTCTTGTTTTTGCAGCATTTTTTTTTTTTCCCAAAGAGAAAAAAAAGCTATTAAGTTTGTTATGCAATTAGATTAATACCCTGCTGTTGCCCACAGGTGTCAACCTTCATCATGATGTACAGAACACACTGTCAGAGGATACTGGACACCGTTATTCGGGCCAACTTTGATGAGGCGAGTCCTTTTCTGTTTAAAATGACCACTTTAGAGTCTGTTTGAGCACATTTGGTGTTTGCCGATTGTATGTTTGTAATATCGTGTCGTGTGCAACGGCCACAGGTCCAGAGCTTCCTGCTGCACTTCTGGCAGGGCATGCCGCCCCACATGCTTCCTGTCCTCGGCTCCCCCACGGTGGTGAACATCGTCGGTGTCTGTGACTCCATCCTCTACAAGGCCATCTCAGGTGTGCTGATGCCCACCGTCCTGCAAGCACTGCCTGATAGGTGAGAGTGTCCCTCTACTGCAGCTGAGAGTTCATCATGTTGTTAACAGTAATATCCTGATTTAACCTCTCTTCTTGTGGTTTTAATATCTTGTGCACAGCTTATGCAGCTACACTTTTGCAGTGTGTGTTTTGTAGGGTCACGTTATTCCAACTCTGATGATTTGCAGGCACATCTTCAGTTTTAAAGTTATCAGCTGTTTGGAAACACAATTAATTTATTTAGCGTGATGTGTAAAGGCGGGGTGGCGTGGAGTCTTTTGTGAAAACACGAACTGAACAGTCTTACTGAGGATCAGTGCTCAATCCTGAGCTCCGAAATGGTTTTGAACTCATGGTCCGCTCTTTATGTTTTGTTTTTATGGCCCTAACAGTTAATTAGTTCTTTAGTTGTGACCCTTATTAAATAAAATCACGTGTTTTGTCTCAGGTACTAAATGTGCTTCATTTTCTCCTCATCTGCAGTTTAACTCAGGTCATTCGAAAATTTGCCAAACAGCTCGATGAGTGGCTTAAAATAGCACTTCATGACCTTCCAGAAAACCTGAGGAATATCAAATTTGAACGTAAGCATAAAATATGCCAAAGTGATTGTTTGCTTCTTAAGCACGTGTGGATTTTATAGGGTAACTTCTCAGGGATTTATTGTATTTTCTTCTCCTTTTGTATTTCAGTATCGAGGAGATTTTCTCAGATCCTAAAGCGGCAAACATCACTAAACCATCTATGTCAGGTGCCTATCGTGGTCTGAATGTTTTTTAATAAAATCCATATGAAAGAACAAAGCTGATAAGGGATGTGGGTATGCTTAGATTTGTCATATTGTTGACTTATCTGTCCCAAGGCATCGCGGACTGTGATAAACAGCGCCGACATCACCTTTCAAATGCTGGAGGACTGGAGGAACGTGGACTTGAACAGCATCACCAAGCAGACACTTTACACCATGGAGGACTCGCAGGAGGAGCACAGGCAGCTTATTATCCACTGTAAGTCACCCTGACTCACCCGGACGGGCACTTTACTATGACGTGAACTACTCGCCGGGGAACGGTCATTCCCACGGCCGGCAGAGTCAGAGCGTTAATGACGGAGAGCAAAAGGTTAAACAAGTTCAATCTGCTCTCAAACACCCTGCGGAGCATCTCCAATTCCCTGCACCCTCGCGCCTCTGCTTTGGCTCGGAAGGGGTCAGAGGTCACATATACGTAGAAGCTGCTGTGTGAAGGTGAAGGTGCTGTTTGTGTTCTATGTAACGCTCCCTCCTCTCACAGTGTATCAGGAGTTTGATCGTCTGCTGGAGGAGCAGTCGCCGATCGAGGCTTACATCGATTGGCTGGACTCGATGGTGGATCGCTGCGTCGTCAAGGTCAGACAGCTAATAGACATTATCCCCTGTTTTTGTGTGGTTGTTTAGACACTTCAGTGTAAGCTGCACAGGTGAAAAGTGCATATTTCTTTATAATCCTCCCCTCACTGAGACACCTGTGGCTGAAATCCCTCTTCCCTCTCTTCCCTGCAACTCTCTCTTAAACCGAGTCACTTAGGTTGCGATCCTCCCAGTTAATGATGTCTTCAAGCTTCCCATTTGCGTCCATTATGTGCCAGATATTGCCTTGTAAAATTTCCGTCTCCCCGGCAACGTCTTGGACTGCTCAGACAATAGTTCAATGGGAAGGCGTGTCCCCGGGGGCAAATTAAATAGTTGACTTGTTGACATGTTTTTCGTTCCTGAGGGTTAAGCCCCAATACGGACCCGGAGGTTAATTCTACCCCGGCGTCCCCACCCTTCCCCCCTCTTTTCTCATGGAAATGTTCTCTCTAGGTGGCGGGGAAGAGGCCCGGGAGCCTGAAGAAGGTGGCCCAGCAGTTCCTGCTTATGTGGTCGTGTTTTGGTACCAGAGTCATCCGGGATATGACCCTGCACAGCGCGCCCAGCTTCGGTGAGCTCCTCCTGCTTTTCATGCAACAGAAGACACACAGCGTTGACAGTCGTTTTATTTACTGTGTCATCCATGTAAACTGCTGAAAATAGCTCCGCTAATAATATCATTAGTGAAATTTGAGTATAAGTTTAGAGTTTTCCTCACTTGCTCATGATTTTTACATTTAAAAGCTAATATGAGCCAAATCAAACTGATATAAAGAGATTAAATGTCTCTTAATTGGAGCTAAATGCTCATTTAATGATTCCTCTGCTTGCTTAGCTTCGACTTCGAGACGAGGAGAGAGTAGGCACGAGTGAAATGGCTGCTGCTTTAACAGCTTACTGTTTGCGGTAAGCGACAAGCAGTAAAAATTAAAGAAAAGAAAATGGCTTTTCTTTCCCCTCCTCTGTCCCTGTCTGTGAATATCAAAGACACAGCTGGTTGCAGTGTTTTGATAAAGCAGGTCTCTGTGCACAAACAGCTAATTAACAAAGGTCGCCCCTCCCCTCTCCCCGATGCGTTTGCCTGTCTTTTCCCTTTTTATGACCGGTCAGTGTTACACCCGGCTCCCCTCAATGGCCACAAGTGTTTATTATGCACACGGCGGCGGCAGAAGCGGCCGGCACAATGACACAATTGTGACACTCCCTCACATGCTCATCTTTCGTGCGACCCCCGGGGTCAGCTGACATATTTCTGGCACTGACTCGGTACACGGAAACAAGCGCGCTCGCTCCTTTTTAATAACAGCGGCCCTCCTGTCATGCCTGCAGGATGTGATGTCATCATCTCAATGGTTGTAATCAGTTACATGCTGGACAGATGTTTGTTTGGTTTCAGCGACTCACTGGAACTGTGCCACTCCAGATAAACGCTTCTACTATCTGATTGTGCTTTCTTGTATACGTCTGCAGGCTCCTTCCACCTGATTCACCTCATGTTTGACGACTATGTGCTTTACCTGCTGGAGTCCCTGCACTGCCAGGAGAGAGCCAACGACCTCATGAGGGCCATGAAAGGCGAGGGCAGCACAGGTGAGCGCTCCAGCTGTAGGTGCAGTTGGTAACGTGACTACATCAGTGGACTTTTCCAACACCCTGAACTTAACTCTGACTGTTTGGATGATCCATAATCCTTGATGGCAAAAATCTTCCTTCAGCTAAATGATAGAAAAGCTGAAGTTGGCTTACTTTCCTCCGATTCCAATCTCTACAAATACCCAAACAAAGGCATGTTTTTGTATACAGATCTGTGACTTTTAACAATCAGATCAGTGGTGTTTTTAGTTTATGCCACACCTACATCATCTCTCAGTGATGCACCTCTGCAACTTCCTCTGTAAAGGATCGTCCAGTTTCACTTTTTCTCGATTGCAGATGCTTCAAAACACAGTTGATGCACATAAAAGGCAGCACGTCGCTCCTGTTTTAGCTCAGTTTTTACCTCCGAAACACAGAGTTGATTTTAAATGGTTTTCATTTGGTTTTAAAGCCCTCCAGGTCAGGCCTTTGCTGTTCTTGTCCCCAGGCTCTCCAGTAGTCTGCCATCCCACATAAATCCTCTCCAACCAACGTTTTCATGATCTTTTATTGTTGTTTCTAATATCAGGTTTAAGTTACAGATGTTTAATTTTACACTATTTAATTTATTTGTCAAATTTTGGTCATTAGTGTCATTTTTTTTTTACTTTACTATTGGAGACATGGAATATAAATGCACCTGCCTGGAAAGCACTCTGGTTCTTTTAAATGTTCTACATAAATACAATTAACTTGAATTTAAAAAATCTGTTGAATATCTGTTAAATGGAAAAATAACTGTTTTATTTATTTATTATTCTTAACTTCCAGCGTTGTTGATTTGTTTTATGTGAGAGCCACTTTTGGGTCGTTTATTATGTATTATACTTTTTTTTAAACAAATGAGAATAAATTAATTTAACACTTGTTAGTCAATGCTCAACATTATTATCAAGTAATATAAGGAAGCTTGTTTTCACAACTGGAAAAAAAGAAATTGTTATCATCCATAAGTAAAAATTTCCATCTGTTATCTCAAAAATTTTGACTTATTCTCAAGTTTGACTCAAGAAGTTGAACTTGAAATTTTGACATAGCTCTGCCTGGAAACCTTAGACATACGTTTGCGCGTATCCAGGGAGATTTGCGCCCTAAATGTTGTGGTGACTGTCCAGAAAAGCCTCCGAAACATCAGCAGAGGTAGTTTATTCTTAGCTGTCCAGGAATTTACTGTTGTAAGGTGTTCCTGTTCATTTCTCTCAATTTTAAATGTTTTTTTTAATCTTATATATTATAGAATAAAATGTATACACTTGTTTGCAGTGACCTTGTAGTGATGAATCATTTAGAATGAGCCTGTTTTCTGCCACACAAAAAGACTTTGTTGTCTAACTGCAGATTTGTTCTGGCTCTTTAACACAGCACCCCTCTTTGCATTGAACTGTCTAACCGCCTGTTTCCTCCCGACACCTTCAGCAGAGAGAGAGGAAGAATTTACGCTGACAGAAACCGCCCCCGCCTCGCCGTCTCCGGGATCCTACTCTCCCGCTCGGTCAGTCCACTCTGTGGGCGTCTCCTCGGCCAGCTCCCCCACAGCAGCCGTGTCCCCGGAGTACACCGGAGTACCTGCCACGACAGGTGAGACAGGACTCGCGTACAAAAAGCCCCGAATAAGCAGAGTTTAACGTAGTTCCTCTGCGCCAAAGCGTCTGTCTCTGTGTCCATATATGTGTCTACCAGGCGCTGTTCAGTCATATACCTGGTCCCTTACATACACAGTGACAACAGCAGGCGGGGCCGCTCCAGAGGCCGGGCAGCAGCTGTCCTGTATGAGGAGCAGCGCTCCCGTACCCCCTCCATCTTCTGCCCACAGGATGCCAGTCTACAGGGAGGAGCACGGGTGATTACTAGATTATTGATCATTGCAGTATTAAAATACATTCTCAATTTATTTTTTGGATTTATTATTATATTTACTAAATTTCGACTCTATTTTAGGTATACTGGTAGCTACAACTATGGCAGTTACGCCAACCAGCATCCTCACTCCATCCAGAGCCAGTACCCGAGTTTGGCCCACGAGCCGACGATCCCAGCCCCGCTGCACTACTCCGCCTACCACCGTACATCTGCACAGGTCAGGCTCTGATGCTCGGTTTATTCAAATTGGTTTATTCAGGTTTTATATTAATTTAAGGACCTGTTAATGCTAAATAATAAAAGTATTAGGTTTTAATAATGAAAGAAAGTAAATGAAACACTTGGGAAGACATTTGTTAGATTCCAATGATTAAAAAGAAAACCCTCTGACTGTTTGGATGATCTGAAATCCTGGATTGCATCTATGCAGTGATAGGACACTTTTAGATTTTCACAGCGTGGAGGTAAAACAATGATTTAAACTGTATAAAGTAACTCAAGTAAAGTAGCTAAGTAAGTCATAAGTATCAGTATGAAAATACTGGGGTTTAATACCTTGTGTGAATGTGTGATGCCTAACTGCTACTTAAACTTTATGCATTATATGAGGCTGATACTACATGTGAAAAAATATGCAGAATCTGATCAACTAAATGTGAGGATGAACTGACATCAGTATCTGAGTTGTCCTTTTAGGGGAATAAATAGATTTAAATATGACGCTATTTATAAAAAAAGAAAGAAAGAAAAGAAAGGTTATTAGAATGAGATGGAGCCGCTGATGTTACCGAGTGAGTTTTACTCTTTTGGTGGCAATTTCCTGTCAAGGGTCCTCCAGCCTCTGCTGCCTTTATAGAGGGAGGAGATCAGCTGGGCCTCAGCGCTCGCAGTGTTTCTAAAAGTCCCTGAATCACCCTCTCCACACAGCGGAAGCAGACAGTGAAAGGTGGCTCGGCCGGGGCCAAGAGGGGGCCTTGCTCTGTTACTTCTCTTTCCAGCTCTCAATAGTCTCTTCATCTGTCTGAGCCAGTGGCCACGGAGCAGGGCAAGGGGGCGTTTATTAAAATATTGTTATTCAATGGTCTCTTTTCTGCTTGTGAACAAGAGGCAGCTGAGCTGCCTGTTCTGCACTGACTGTCTTTTTCCATGCCGTGATCCCTCATAATGGCTTCGACTGTCGTGTTTATATTTAGTTAAAAAAAGGGGAAAGGGTCTACTTCCACTTTTTTTTTTTTTAGCCCCGTCTGAGCTTAAATAGGGCACAATGCCTGCACTTTGTCACTGCGAGAGGTTGGACATGGAGCTGAAACGGTCTGAAAACTTTGCCGGATCCCCATCTGTCCAAAATATTTTTGTCAACAGGCAGATTTGGTCTGTTTGAGGTCAGTCACCACAGGCAACAGATCACACACACACACATGCACGCACACACAAGGAGGGAGAGAGAAAAAGCACTTTTTTTGGGTGAAACCCTCATTTTCTTAAGTGGCTTCATTTTCTATTTTGACCACTGTGCCACAACTTGTGAAGCAATTTCCCATGACAGGAAATTACCAGCAGCAGGGTCAGTTCAAACCCAATATTTTATGCTTAATACAGGATCAAATGAGATATCGGCCGGGTCGTGGTCACCTTTCAGGACCACGAGAATTTTAAGGTTCGTATCACTCTGGCAGCGCAGAGAGGGCAGCATTTAAATGACTTGCTGTCAGGAAGAGAGTTAGATCAGGTATCCTAACATAAAGGATGGAAACAGATAAAATCCACGCAACAGCTCCTCTAAAGCTCGCCATCACTTGGGGATGACTGGTATAGTTTACGAGTTAGAAGATTGGTGGTCTTCTTCAGGCCTTGGACAAGATACCAAACCCTGAGTTGCCCCTGATGGTTCCAGCGAAGAGTGACTAACTACAAAAAGTTTGAATAGCAGTCAAAGCCGAACAGCACCATATAAGTACTGCTCCATCTTCTACTTAACTTATCCCCCTCCTTTTCCTCTCCACAGTACCAGCTCAACAGCCAGATGTCCCGAATGGAGCCGTGCCTGATGGGCAGCACTCCTCGGTTGCACCCCACACCTGTTGCCCCCCGGTGGCCAGATGTGTCACCAGGTAACAGCTGTTACACCAGCCCGCCTATGCATTCGTCCCGCTATACCACCTCTGGGGATATGTACTCACCCCTGGGCCCACGCAGGAACTCAGAGTATGAACACTCGCAACATTTCCCCGGCTTTGCCTACATCAACGGGGAGGCCACCACCGGCTGGGCCAAATAGCCTTAAATCTGAGAGCTGTGAACACTTTCCAATCAAGCGCATGAAAAAAAAAAAAGGGAACGGAGAGTAAAATGCGCCAACGTAAGGTAAAACGAATCACGGCGTGGATGTTCTGACAATTTTAAAACACGCATTACATCAATCGCATCCAATGATTGGCTGCAACTTGTGGGGAGGTTTATTAAAGTTTCTTCAGCAGTCGACAGAAGAAAAACAAAATAAGATTGCAGCAAAATCATTTTGAGAGTGCAATGCTGCTGCCAAGCTGTGCCTTCGATTTAAGGAATGTACACCTCTGCCAGAGTTTCCCTCATCCACGAGGTCGGGCGCACACGCGGTCCCACCAACCCGCCCGCCCCTCCGTCAGTGATGTCCAGCGACTGACGGCTCTGCGTGCTCTAAGCTGTACAATCTCAGTCTCCTCTTGTTGCTCAGCAGTATCCTGTCGTGAGCCCTCTGCAGCAGATGCTTGCACTGCAGCTCGATGATGATGATGATGGACTGCACTGCCTTAACATTCTCCTGGGATACTTAACATCACAGGTGACCGATATAAACTCAAGAAAGACCTTGATGGGTGTGTTAAGGTTTCTTCATCTTGGATACTTTTTTTTTTTTAAATGATGAACAATGTGACTTAGAAAGAAAAAAAGTGTATTCTGTCGCAAGCCTTTCTGCTGTTTTTCTGTGACTATATATCTATACACACACACACACACACACACACACACAAACACACACACACACATATATAAATATATATATAGTATGTATTTTCTGTAACTTTGTAACATGGTGTATCCTTTATTTTCTATGTTACAATTGGTACTTTGTTCTCTGTTTTGTATCGCTAGTAAAGACGCATTAACCTAGGGTTGTGTGTTCTATATAATGCACTCAAAGCTACTGAGGACCTATTACCCTATGGGTATTTATAAAAAGGGAAAAATATCAAAGTGTACAGTAACATGAAGTCTAGTCACTTTTCTGTAAATAAAAGCACTGGAAACCATCCGTGGTGACTGTTAGACTATCACAGTTAAAACTGGTGTGTATGTGTGAAATATGTTGACACATAAATTTAAAACCGTGAGACATTCTTGTCAAATGTCTTCTTTTTTTTAATCTCTTTTTTTCTGGAGGGAAGGGGGGTGGGGGGTGTCAATGCATTGTGGTACCTACTGAACGATCACAGCATCAGCGCTGGAGTAAAGTCTCGAGTTAGCCTTTTTCTAAACTGTTTTACATCGTATTCATTTAAATTAAATCATCTACTGCCCAAATACATTAATCCTGTAACTGCTATTGTGTTGTTTTTGAAATTCCCTCATTCCTCTTTGTCCATATGTCACATTTCTAATCTGTGTGCTGCTGAAGAAGTAGAAATGTTTCCTGAATTGGATTTTCCTTCTCGCTGTCCATGCACCGACACAGTGGGGGGCTGGGCGAGTAGCAGAAAGGCCACACTGCAGAATGGGTTCCATTTCTAAGGACTGAATGTCCCTGCTGTGCTGGGGTCATTGCACTTCAGTCCTGTAACCTTTGACCTCTGACCCCTGTCCAGTTTGTATTTATTAGGGCGTAGATCCTCTGTGTTATATCTGATTCCCAACAAGAAACTTTGAATAAAGAAAACTTCTTTAAAGACACAAAAACAAAAAAAACACCAAATATAAATATATAAATATATATATATATCATCGATTTAATCAGCTGACCTGAGTGTCAATATCAATATCCGCTGGAAATTTCAGACTGAGATCTGCGATCCTATCAGCTGTGAGAAATGTGCTGCCACAGGAGGTTTCATCTTTGATATCACCAAAGCACCACTTACAGTTATTATAGCAACCACATCCC